GGACCTGACCTTATCCATTTGTACAGTGCATGGAGATGCTTCCTTGACGCAAACTTTATTTTGGGTCACGTCAAGAAGCGTACAAGGACTGAAAATTTTCCCCATCAATCCTAATAATATCAATTGTCAGTATTACTTGAACAACTTCCACTAAAATTAATGGTGCAGTTGTGATTAGAGATGGGCATGAATCAGAAAAATGGTGATTCATTTTCATTCATCATTCATCAAAGTTGACGAATCGCGAATTATGATTTTTTTCGGATGAATCAATTCATCAATTCATTTTTTTTAAATTTAAAGCCCTATACAATGGCCCTCCAAACACCTAGAGACACCATATGTGCAGAGAGTCTTCCCTCCACCCTCCTCTACAAGCTCTGCAAGTTTGGTGATGTTTAGGTTTGGGGCACCCGGGTTACACATGCACAAGGAGGGCCCCCCAGGCGAGGGCCCCCCAGGCACCTAGAGACACCAAAATCATCAAGATGTTTCTACTGACTCTCCTCAACAACATATCCATGTTTGGTGAAGTTTGGGTTTCAGACATCCAAGTTGTATACCCACAAAGTGGGTCCCCCCCCCAGAAAGTGCCCTTTAAGACCTGGCTTGGAGAAACCCAAACTTCACCAAACTTGGAGGAATTGTAGAGGAGAGTCATGGGAATCTTCTCTGTGATATTGGTGTCTCTAGGTGCTTGGAGGGAATTTTTCTGGGGTTGCCTCTTTGTGGGTGCAAAATCCAGATATCAGAACCCCAATCTTCACCAAGCATGGAGGAATATTAGAAGATAGTCATAGGAAGCTTCCTTGCAGTTTTGGGGTCTCTAGGTGCCTTGGGGGGCGTTTTATAACCGAACAAATCAATTAATCAAAAATTGCTAAAATTCATTGATTTGTGATTCGTTAGGGATATTAATTCGTATGAATACAAATCAACGAATTAGTGATTTTTGGATGAATTTGGTGATTCATTGTTGAATGCATGCCCGTCTCTAATTGTGACATATGGCCGTAATTTAGTGGGCTAGAGTGTGCGGACACAGTGCCAGAATGAGGAGTTCAAATCCCAACTGTGCCTCCCCTTTGAGAGAAAGCTGAGATCATCTAGAGGGTATGTGGCTGATGGGATTATGTGCCCTGCCACCTGTGTAGTCTTGGGCAAATTTCATGGTCACAGAGCACCACTAGAAGGACAGATCAGGAAACCACTTCTGATTGCTTCATAGAAAACCCCAGGGGGTATCCATAAGTTAGAATCAACTTGATGGCATTTAACTATTATTATTGTCAGTTGTAACTACCGCTGTGCCGATTTGTGGTTTTAGAAGAGAACTACCCAAATATCCAGTATAACTAGTTGACTGCTAGCTTCAATTTGCTGACAAAGCAATTACTAGCTGACAACTGCTTTAAGTTTGGGTGAGAAGTAGTTAATTGATTTAAAAAAAGGGATTGTCCCTTGTTTGGCATTACTTTGTGAATGGTAGTGAGCACAAGAGTGTATACTGTAAACCATCCTGACTACTCTCAGTGTGTTGTCAATATTCAGGGTCCCTTTTGCTATGTAATGAGGCACGTGGTGGCGTTGCGGGCTAAACTGCAGAAGCCTGGGCTGCAGGGTCAGAAGACCAGCAGTCGTAAGATCGAATCCACGCGACGGAGTGAGCGCCTGTCGCTTGTCCCAGCTCCCGCCAATCTAGCGGTTCGAAAGCATGCAAATGCAAGTAGATTAATAGGGACCACTTCGGTGGGAAGGTAACAGCGTTCCGTGTCTAAGTCGCACTGGCCAGGTGACCACGGAAGATTGTCTTCAGACAAAACGCTGGCTCTATGGCTTGGAAACGGGGATGAGCACCGTCCCCTAGAGTCGAACATGACTGGAGAAAAAAAATGTCAAGGGGAACCTTTACCTTTACCTTGCTATGTAATGCGAGTGTGATATTGTGGGAACCTTTACCTTTATCTTTACCTTACTATGTAATGCGAGTGTGATATTGTACAGCAATAGCAGGCAATTTCCTGGTGTTTTGAATCATGAGTAAAGGAGCACAATATCCCACATTCATAAACCAGAGGTTTTTTAAATAACTGAATTATTTCTGTTATGATTATGGTTACTGTTATTTCTATACTGCCCTTTCTTAAAAACCTTACCAGGGAAGCATCTAATAAATCTAAAACAGCAATAAAGCCATTTATAAAAACGAAGCCATTAGCAGAACCTTTAAAACAACAATAAAGCAATGCAATAAAACAGTAATATAATAACACACTAAAATATTTTAAAAGATCACGTTAATAATCTTTCCACTTTTCTTGAAGCTTTTGGGAAACATGATTACTACTAAACTGCTCTTCTCTCTGGAGAAAAGTACAAAAGGAAAAGAAAGAGAAAATGAGAAGAGAAATATTTCTAGGAACAAGAGTTTGGGAGAAAATACTTTTCCCTGCTCATGGGCTTCAAAGTATTTGACACCATCTGGAATTAAGACGTGAACCTCTGAATTGCTATGGAACTGGATGAAAAAAACACATGATCTCATCATCAGATCTTTGTACCAACCCATCAAATTTAACATAGAAATTGGAAACAAACTGAAATATTTTCAAATGAAAGATGTTATAAGAAGAAAACAGAGAGAGGAGAGAGAGCATATGTCTGGGGATCCACCCTTCAGCTTCTTTCCCATTTATATACCATGGATCACTCTGACAGATTTTGGAACAGCCATCAAGCAGAAGGCTGTCAACCAATGAGTCAAATATTAAGTGTTTGCTATATATCAGGGCTGGAGGACTTGCAGCGCTGCAGATGTTGTTAGAAGGCAACTTCCTTCAACAGTAGCCGGCATAGCTAACAGCCAGAGATGATGAGAGCTGAGGTTCAAGGATAAGTAGAGTGAGAGATATTCCCTCTTCCTGCTTGGTCCTGCTACAAGAAATTCTAGACTTACGAAGCAGGGGTTGGGGAAAAATGCAACCAAATTCAGCTCTGCCTTCTTCGTAAAAGATTCACAAATACAGTACTGTACTCAGTTTTTCCATCCTCTTTCCCCCTTCCTCAGTAAGTCTCATGCTCTCCAAAGGGCATGGGGGAGGCCCCAGTTTGGGCTTACCTGCACAAATTCAGGTCACCACCATTCCTGCCCCTCACCCAAGCTCCACAAGATGTTTCAAAAAAATATATATTTTTCCCCGCTCAGAAAAGGCCCCCGGTGGTCTCTAAAGGGCATGCATGAGAGGCAATTTTGCCATGTTCTCTCTTCCTGCCCCCCTCTGCATCCCTGCCCCTCCCCACCTTTTGGCCATTAGAGATCATGAGGCATCTTTTACAGAATGTATGTATGTATGTATGTATGTATGTATGTATGTATGTATGTATGTATGTATGTATGTATGTATGTATGTATGTATGCATATGTATGTATATATGTATATGTGTATATGTGTATATATATATATATGTATATATATGTATATGTGTATATGTGTATAGTGAAACATCGCTAAACGGAATTTAAAAAGCCATAGAAACGTTCCTATGGCTTTAAAACTCACCGTTAAGCAATGTTCCTCCATAGTGCCGCCATTTTCGCGCCCTTGGTAAGTGAGGGCAGGGCGTGAAAATGCGGCGCGGACCCAATGGGCTGAAAACTCACCATCCAGTGAAGATCCTCCATAGGGGCAGCCATTTTCGGTGCCTGTAGAGTGAGGAGTCTGTCCAAAAACACAGCGGCCCCCCGCTTCGTTATGCGATATTCGCTAAGCGAATCGCTTAGTGAATATCGCAAAGCGAAAAAACGCCATAGGGGCCATCGCTGAGCGAATGCTCCAGCGATGGCCCACAGCCCCTCGTTAAGCGATTTCATTGCTCAGCGAGGCGCTCGTTAAGCGAGGCACCACTGTATATATATATATATGTATATGTATATACGTATATGTATGTATATATGTATATATGTATATATAAGAAAACAATTAGGTGATAGGTGAGGCACAGAAGTGATTGTGACTTGCTTTTCAGACCTCACACCCTGTTTCAAAGCCACCCAGCTGGACAACCATCACTACCTCCTGTGGTATCAAATCCTGTAAGAAATAAGGTCCCCTTGTTTTTTTCCCCATAAAGATTCCCCCCCTACTTCTGCC